TCATGTTAAATTCTTTATAGATATCTGTAAAAGCATCTCTTTATTAAAAGGGAACAATACAAACAAGACTAATCTGTCGAATTTTACATAAGAAAGGAGAAAATAAACAAAATATATATTTATTTTTAGTAAACAAATATGATTAATTGGAAACAAGATTAAAAATAAAATTGATGGAAAAATACAAAATAAATATTTTTTATTAAAAGATATTTTTTATTTGAAAAAATAGTTTAACTTCATATCTATAAATATCTATAAATATTATTTATATTTTTAAGATATAAGGATATAAATATAATTTTTAATTTTTTTTAACTATATATTGTAGTATTATATATGTATAAAGTAAGTTAGAGCGTCCTCTCAGATAAATCTTTTTCAAATCTTTTTGAAAATATGTTAAACTTAAAATGTGAAAGCATTAAAATATTTAAGAAATAATGGATTTATATACAAGTTTTATATACAAGTTTAGCTTTATTCGTGATAATTCGATGTCTACTGGCATGTTATATTCTAAATCTATTTGTCCTTTCTGATCTTAAGAGAGATAAAAAACGAATGAAAACAACAAATCGAACAGTCGTTGCGAAATTAAATTTATTTGTATTTCTTTCTATTTGTATTTCAAAGAAAGGATGAATTAAACATTAAATTAATATTAAACATTTTTTACACATTTTATAATAACTAATGTGAAATTAAACATAATAATTTTTTAACATTAAGATTTTGTTTTGATTTAAAATATTTTATAGTAAAAATAATCAATCAAAATGCTGTTATAATACATATCTGAGAATGTCTTAATATTAGTTATATGCAAAGGATAATGAAAATAGTATATTTATAATATAAGGTGTGTATTACTGCCCATTTAAAAACAGAAGAAAAATGTCTTTTAGAATATAAAAGCGCTATGCTTATGTGTTTTCTTTACATTATGCATGCATTCAAAGAGAGATATAAAAATATTTTTATCTAATAACTTATCTTATTTAATAAACTAGCTACGAATTCATTAGCGTCAAAAGCACCTAAGTACAGTCGTAATGTTTTCGCTTCGAGAAATCACCGATAAATGACGGCATTCTCGGCGTACGAACAGTAATACGTAGGAGAATACAGTGTCATGTAAATATTTCTTTTCTTAAGGTTATAACACGCAAGTATCTTATCCATCGATAGAACTCAATACGTACTTCAGACATTTTTGCATTGTCTTCATATTTACACAATTTTCTTGAATATAAAATTAATCAAGATATTGTATTTTCTAAATAAGAAGAAATATTCTATATTTATAACAAAAAATATATGCAGGGTTTCGAAGAAAAGGGTAAAATATTTTAAGGGGATTTAGTATGACTCAAAATATGTTAAAAAGTCTTAATAAACATGGGTCCGCAAATAAGTCATTTTTGAGAAATTTGCAATATCTCATATAATTTAACTTACCTATAACTTAATTTAATTTACTTATATTCACGTAAGAAAGTATGCAGAACCAATCAATAATTTAGAACATTTAGAAAATCGTATACAAGAAGCCTGCGTTACAATCAGAATGAAACCAGGTGTGTTTGAAAGACGAGATTCTTTTTCGCGAAGATGTAGAGTTTGCATAGACATGGAAGGAGGTCATTTTGAGCATCTTCTTTAACATAAAATAAAATACCAGCTGTTATTTTTTTTGCATAAATTATAAGAAAAATAAAAATTTAAAACAAAAATAAAAATTTAAAAAAAAATGAAATTAAAAATATCTCAAAAACGGTTTATTTGCGGACCCATGTTTATTAAGACTTTTCGATTTGTTTCTGGGCATACTAAGTCCCCTTAAAATATTTTATCCTTTTTTTCAACACCCTGTATATACTGTGTTGCGCTTAGATAACTTAATAATCTAAATTCAGATTAAATAAATCATATACTCATGTATTTCAGATAAGATAAAAATAATTCGATTTGAGTATATCTAGATAAAAGATGAATTAGTTAAATATTTTATCTAAATACTTTTAAGATATTTAAGATAATATTAAGATTACTTTTAAGATTAAGATTACTTTTAAGATATATAAGATAATATTTAAAACAATTTAGGATATATAAAAATAATACACTCGAGACAAAAAATTACAGAAAATAAGCATGTATTCATTTGACAACAATAACGAGTATACAATAACGAGGCCGTATCCACGTCAATGTCAATCGACCAATGTGATTATGGCTGCGTTCCACTTAACGATCGCAAAATTATCTTATCCTTGTTGTTCGCTAAAAGTTAAACAAAGACACATCACGAGTTTACAAGTTAGTTTGACCTTGAAAAGTCACGTGAAGGTCACGTGAAGGTCACTTCTAACTTTTTAAATGGGACCCTCTACATACTTTTACATATTCTTGTAGCTTGTCTCAAAAGTTTTCCAAAACACTATAATTAAGTTAGTTTTCATTAAATACTTTTCGAGTTATAATAATTATATGTATGTCTACAGGGTGATAGAGCGAATATCTTGCACCTCGACATTACATATATTACTGATAAACGTTTTTATGTTACTAATATTTATGTACCAATATGTGTTATTTATATAATATCGATATAATTGAAAAAAGAGAATGTCGTTATTGATCTATGATACTATGATTATGGAATTGCTAAAAAATAATCAAAATAAAATTGACATCATGCTATCTCTCTATTCCGCTGATGATCCATAATATATGCGAAGTATCGATATAACCCAGATAGCAAAATCGGATAGAGCACGTTTTGCAATTTATGTGCTGCATACTATGTCAGCAGAATGCTGTCAATATTCTAGCAAAATATGCCGTTTCAGTTAATGTTGTCAGAAACACAGCAAAAGTTGAGCATAACGTGCGTTACGAATATACACATGTTTGCTCGTTACTTTAGCCGACCCTTAAGTTTTATAAGAAAAATTTCAAAATTTTTTAAATTGGGAGGGGAGAGAGGAATTTCAAAAAATATGACATTTTTCAGAGAAATTTAATTACATTATTATAAAATACATTCAATAACCATAAAACTTTTATTCGAAACTTTTTTTTCATATTTATTACGGTTTGACAGTATTCTTAGAATTCTGTTTTTCTAATTAAAAATATGTAAGAATCGACTTTTTTCAAGAGAGATGCTTCATTACATTAACAACCATATGGCCATATAAAAAAAAATACGTCTCTTATTTTGAGTTAAACTACAATATAAAGCTCAACAAAATCGAAGAGCTACAATAACGACCTTTTCCTTGTTAGATAAATTTGCAAAATATAATGAAAATTAAAAATTATATTTTTTGTTTCTGTTTATGTTTCTCTATTTTCTTATTTCTTTAAGCTTTCTATTTTTTATTTCAAAATTGATCTTCTGAAATGAGAAAAAATGAAAAAAATAATTTTCGTATTTTTTATTGACATATTAAGCTTTCAATTAGATTAATTATTTTTGCAGGATAAATAAAGATTAAAAATTATACAACTCTTTTTATATCCAAAATCATTGATATTCAGTATCATAACAACAAAAGTGAGCTATCTCATTATATATTGTATATACTCCTAATATATTCTTGCATTCTTTACATAGAAATTGTAATTTCAATATATATGATACACACACAGATACACACATACACATAATTTATGATTCATGAATTAAATTTTGTATCTCATCAAATAACAGTTTTTTTTAATTATCAGCTTTTATTATTTTACGTATATTTTTTACGTATCTTTTTTTACAATCTTATATATCAAATATTTGCAATAATATACATCATTATCAACTGCATGATCTTTTTAATTATAAATTTGGCTTATAATACAAAAATAGTAAGTATATGTTTCTCTTATATGTATAAAAAGCTAAAATGAGATATTTTATTATTATCCTTTTTTTTAACAGAATAATAACAGAATTAATATAATAGATATACATATATAAAAAGAGGGGAAAAGAAAGAGAATTGAGAAGAAAAGTTTAAAATCATATTTATATTTATATTTATATTGTTAAAAAATATAAATTACAATATCCTCGCGATATCTGCAATAAATACCTGAGTCTTGCCTTTTATTATAAAATTCAAAATATACATATCACAGGCGGATATTTACAATCAGATATAACTAAAATTACTATATATACATATACATACATATACATATATATACATATATGTATATATGTGTATGTGTGTATGTAATACAGACTTATATAATGCATGCAAATAAGATTGTATGTAAATTTATGATATTTTTTGCAAACTTTAATGAAGACTTTAACTAAAAAGTGAAAAATTTCAATCAGAATGTACAAATAACAATATTACAATTATAGCACCATTGAAAATTATTCTATCAATAAAATCTCTTATTATCAATCATTTTTTCTATATATAGTACATTTCATATATAGTACTCCAAAATATCTTTGCAATTTTTGTAATTAAATCAATGTTGAATTCAAACATACGTATTGTATATATTGTATGTATTGTATGTATTGTATATTATAAAATAATTGTACACGAACATAAGAGTACTTACACTTGCTAGAATAATCTTTTGAATAAAGCCTTCAAAAGTATATATATAAAGTATTCTTTTTTTAAATTTTACTTTTAATTATATAACTTACTTTTAATTATATAATTGAATTTTTAATAAATTTAGTAAGTAGATGAAAGATGTTATATATTATATATTTGTAGCTTTAGCACTTTTAATTCTTATTTTTTTTAAACTTTTTCAGCGTTGTTTCATTATTTCATATATGCCATTTACTCACACATATATAATAAAAAAAAGATATTATTATGCACGTAATCAAAACATTTACATTTTATATGTATGTCATTAAAATAGATAATTAAGCAAACATTAAAAATAAAAAATTTTTTAAATGTTAAAAATAAAAAGGTTTGTATGCAAAATAAAAAAAAATATAGTTGAAACCTTTGCTAACTAATGAAAAAATCAATAAGAGATTTTATTTTTATGTATTATTTAAGCGTCTTCATTACTCTGCATAACACGAGAGTTGCTTGTAGTCGTTACTTGTAGAGGTATCGAGAATAATTCTTCCCATGAAGGCTGAATGGAATTGATTACAGCTTCAACAGCATTAAGAGAAACAAATTCTAAGACCCAACTTTCCTCGAGTCCCGCGATCTCGTCCAAAAAGTTTAAAGTCAATGAATTATTGTAATGTTCCTAAAATTATATCATTAATGCATTATCAAATGGATACTGAATAATTTGTATGCCAATTGCAAATTATTATGATTTAATATGCATTTATACATTTTTTACTTATAAAATTATTCTAAAATAGAACGCAATTATTTAAAAATTTAAATGTTGGCATTATCTTTTATTCTAAAGAATAATAAATAGAAATTTTCAAAAATTACTGACTATTGCAATCAAATTACTCATAGTTTGCTCCCTAGCAATCAAAGGCACTTGATCGCTGCCTGGCATAAGCCATTGAACATTATCCTCCAGTATTATTAATATTGCATTCGTCAATATTAATCCAGATAGTTTAAACTTGATGATAACGTTTTGATATTTTATAACTGCAGAGGAAAATATTGCTAGTAATCGTACGACATCTCCAGTCTTATAATTAACAGTATTCATTAGTAAATCATTCATTAAAAGGCTAAAACATTCTGGAACGGAAAATTCCACTTCACAATTTGAAGGCAATCGTAGATCTGTAAACAAAAAAACACCATGCGTACAACTTAAAAGTTATTGTTGCTCATATTTGAGAACCTAATTCTGAGATTTTTACATTTATTAAATTTAATTGCGTTATATTTATCGTTATTAGAATACATTATATACAGGGTGGGGAAAAAGTATGGAAGCAAACAATTATTTCCGAAACTATTCATTTTTCGACAAAATGTCTTAGACATAATTTTTATGGTATGAAAAGATGTATTATGTGGCATAGACGGCATGACTTTGAAATAACCCTTACGAGCTGCATACAAATAACGTAAAAAATTTCAAATGGAACTCGTCAGTTTTTGTTACAGATTCTTGTAGCTGATGTCGAAACGTTTACAAAACACTGCATATGAGCCCCATTCCCTTAAAAACACTCCCAGTTACGAAACAATTGTGATACAAACAATTTGTATGCACATTGACATTGCTTACTGATTTCGCATCATGACGTTCAGTTGCGTCCACTAATAACATGTAATTGTACCTGTTGTCATATGATACACTGTCTATGAGTATTCATAGAATTTTTTGGAAGATGAATAGTTTCGGAAATAATTGTTTGCTTCCATACTTTTTCCCCACCCTGTATATATATATATATATATATATATATATATATATATATATATATATATATATACCTGTGATATAAAATAAAAAGTTTGATGTTCTCTGAAAGTCTTGCAGAATACAAAGCACTGTAATAATACTGGAAAGCTCTTCATTAATTTTACCAGGCTGTTGTAATTCAATCAAAATACCCTGCTTAAATGGCAATGATACAAAGGATCTTAATCTATCCGTCGTCCAACTGATTTCCTTATGAAGCCAACGCTGTGGATCCTCCCTGTTGTGAAAACATCTTTTTTTCTTATAATTTTTTTAGATTTTTCTATCTAATCTTGTTACAAATAAATCTTGTTTGTTATTCATAATTTTTTTTAAATCTCTCTATCATACACAATTAATACTGGAAAATGAAACGCTTTTTAGAAATTTAAAAGAATGTTCCACCTTAACAGATTGATCTTTAAAAGAATGTTCCACCTTAACAGATTGATCTTTCTTTTTTTATACATTTCATTAAAATATCCTATTTCTAAAATATTCATAAAAATTTTATAATAAAGTTATAATTATTCTTTACGATATAAAGTCTTGAAGAGGAAATTAATTTTAAAGCAACTTACCCTTCTGGTCCATCGATTCTGAGAATATAAACTTTAGACGTAGATAATACTAAACATCCAGAAAATATTTCTTGCATAGACGGCATCAAAATCTGTGCCTATATATAAAAACAAAAAAATAATATTATCAATTATATTCAATTTGGACTTGGCTTAATATATGTAAATAATAAAATTTTAAAATTATACTAAGAGAGCTAAGTACCTTGAGAAGAAACACCACTTCTTCGTTCTCATGCTCGAGTATATTTAAGATTATATGCAATTTGATTCTATGATCTATACTATTAAAGTTAGTATATGAGTATTGCACATCGCTGCCGAAAAAACTTGAAGCTTCTTCGCCTCTCAATATTTTGTTGCCCCCAATCTTAATACTCTGAAGTAAACCTAAAAATGACATACACAACACAATATGACACATACAATAATATATAAACATATATATAATAATATAAAGTATTAAGGTAAGATAATCGAAAAATGAATATTTTACTAGATATTTTATAGTTTATGCAAAATTAAGAAATGATTTCAAGCCTCATAACTCGAAAAGTACTCAATGAAGAAATATTTTATTATAGTGTTTTGGAAAGCTCTCAAGATAAGCTACACGAATATGTAATAAAAAATAGGGGGGTCCATTTAAGAAATTGACGGTGATCTTCACGTCATTTTTAAATGACTCTCTCATGTCAAATCATTGCCACTATCTGATGGCCCCCTTCAAGCCATACAATGTTTGTTTGAAACATTTATTTCTAAAGTGCATAGTTTATGAAATATTCGATCGGTCCGGGACTTTTGGGACACTCTGTATATATAATAATATATAACATATATATAATAATATATAAACATAATAGAAATATCAATATTAAACGTCATAACAATATGACAAATAATACAAATATTCCAAAGTATTAGTTGACAAAAATTAAGTTAAAATTTTAATAAAAGCAAAATATTCATCTTTATTAGATCATCTGTAATCAAATATAACATTATGATGGGATTATGAATTCATTGGCTTTACTTCCTAACATTGATGTCAGATTTGTTACAGGAACAATTTCCTTCTCACTGCTTTGGGATTTCGTATCGTTCGTTAATTTGGCTATTTTATTTTCATATGCTGTACATATACTATCTGCCAGAGATCCTATAAGTAAAAATATGTTTCTTTCACAAATATATCTATTTAATTTTCATTAAAAAAGTTAAATACAAATCGTAATTATATTAATAAAGTAATACACATTCTGTTAATGAATTATCATTAAAATTATGATATCAAAATTAATATTATTTTCAATGCGTGTATGCTGTGTCTAATTCGAGATTTAATTTATATAACAATTTCGCGATTTTGCTTTAAACAAGTAGTAAAAAAACTATTTTCCACACATTTACTCGATTTCAAATAATCTGTTTAATATCTATTCAATATTTTATTTAATATTCTGAAAAAATAAAATTATTAAAATATTTATTCTTATTTATCTGTTTAAGATCTATTTAATATTTTATTTTATATTCTGAAAAAAACAATCTATTTAATATTCTAAATTCCTTGTTGAAATTGTATTAAAAGTTAAATTAGCAAAAAAAATATATCCTTCGAATCTTATGTTAATATCCGTCTTTTATAGGTTTTACATCCATTCCAAGGGATTTTAGTAATAAGTTGAATAGGAATTTCAATCATATTGTTACATTATTGTCGTAATATTTCAAAATAATATGTATCTTATAGTTTTATATCATATAGATCATTTATATTATATTAATTATTACTTCCATGTTATATTACTGCAATGTGTTTACTGGATCTATTAATTATACAGGGTGTCCCAAAAGTCCCGGACCGGTCCAATATTTCATAAACTATGCACTTTAGAAAGAAATGTTTCAGACAAAAGTTATATGGCTTGAAGGGGGACCATCAGATAGTGGCAATGATTTGACATGGGAGAGTCATTTGAAAGTTACGTAAAGATCACCGTCAGTTTCTTAAATGGAACTTCCTATTTTTTATTAAATATTCTGGTAGCTCATGTCGACAGTTTTCCAAAACACTATAATAAAGTATTTCTTCATTGAGTACTTTTCGAGTTATGAGGCTTGAAATCATTTCTTAATTTTAATAAACCGTAAAATATCTTGTAAAATATTCATTTTTTGATTATCTTACCTTAATACTTTTATGTACAAAATAATGAGAGGAATCAATTGGTGTAAAGAAAACACATAGTTGTTTAAAAAAAAATATGTAATTGTTAATCGTAAATTTATATTTTTTTCTTAAAAACAACTATGTTTTTTCTTTACAGCAATTGATTCCTCTCATTATTTTGTACATAAAAGCTAAGATAATCGAAAAATGAATATTTTACAAGATATTTTATGGTTTATGTAAAATTAAGAAATGATTTCAAGCCTCATAATTCGGAAAGTACTCAATGAAAACTAACTTAATTATAGTGTTTTGGAAAGCTCTCGACGTGAGCTACTAGAATATTTAATAAAAAATAGGAAGTTCCATTTAAGAAATTGACGGTGATCTTCACGTGACTTTCAAATGACTCTCCCATGTCAAATCATTGCCACTATCTGATGGCCCTCTTCAAGCCATACAACTTTTGTCTGAAACATTTCTTTCTAAAGTGCATAGTTTATGAAATATTCGACCGGTCCGAGACTTTTGGGACACCCTGTATATGATTATATGTAATAGAAAGAATGATTATATGTGATAGAATGCAAACCCGAAGAACTGCTTTCTGTTAAGGCTGCCATCACTGGCGTCGCGTCTGGAATTGTTATTAAGGAAGGAGCAATTGCTGTACGTCTTTCCTCCTGTTTTCGACTTGGCGTAACATTTGTCCTGCATCAATATTGCAATGAAATATTAACTTAAACATGCAATAATTGTGTCTGTGATGATAAGTAAACGATAATATCATATCTGATATTATGATGATATCATATCTGTTTGTTTCTTTGCTATATAATTATATTATCTTATTATATAGTCCTATTTAATCTAATTTCTTATTTTTTATTTATATATGTTTGTGCAACAAGTGTATTGTACAGAAACATCATAAACATTAAGTATTATTAATAGAACTAATACTTAATAAATATAACTAACTAATTTATATAAATTAATTAAATTTATTTATTAATTAAATTTAATTAAATTAACTAACTAAAATATAACTAACTAACTTAAATAAATACAACTAACTTAATAAATACAACTGACATACTAACTTCAGCGTTTCATCTAAAACTTCGATGCTGCTCTGACTCGGATTGCTGAGTATCTCTATGTCACTCTCGTATTTCTTCGTCAAAGCATTTGTAGACGGAGTAGATTCTCTAGATTCCTCTAAACTTGTTGCTGAACCTGATAACGATAAATAATTTGAAAAAAAAAAAGATTAGTTATGTTTCGTTGTTTAGAAATTTAGAAAAAAACAAATAAAAAATAAAAAATATATATAAATTACAGAGATTTTAAATAAAAGATATATAATTTTTTTTAATACGTCACGGATTAAACTTTTAAAAGTAAAGAAATTAGAAATTAGATGATTGTACACCGAAGAAAAAAAAGTTAAGATTAAAAAAAACACGTACGTTTAAATTTTTTAATGAAAATTTAAATATTTTAAGTAAATTTTTTAATTAAAAAAAATTAATTTGATTCAGCCACCGAGTCTTTTTTTTAACTGAATAAAATTGATTTTGAAGGAAATGAGAAAGAAAAGATTCAACTTTTGGCAGCTGAATGATTCAAAAAATATATACAGAAAAAAAGGTAGAAAAGAGAGAGGAGATGGAAAAAGGAGAGACAGAGAAAAAGGAAAAAAATATGAAAAAAAAATAAAGTATGAAAAGAAAGTAAAGGGAAAAGATAAAATGCGGAAAAAGAAAGAGAGAAAGTGAAAATAAACCATAAAAAGAGAAACAGAGAAAAAGAGGAAGTAAAGAATGCTATAACATAATTATTGTGGCTAAAGCTTACAACAGATTTGAGCTTGGATATGAGAGTCGGAGTGTACCAGAGAAGTGGTGACGGATTTAGCTCCACCCTCCATTCCACCTGCACCGGTATTAGTTTGTTATAGTTCCCATTAAATATAATAAATATATAAACGCGCACGCGAATACATGCGTTGGCCGTACAAGTATATATTACACATATATTACATATACTATAAATTATCATTACAACGTTGCACTTCACAATCATTCTATTAACAAACGAAAATAAAAATTGGAATATCCATTTTTTTTAGATAAGTCAATATTATCAAGTTAATTATCGGGCCATCTTCAACATAATTAAATGGTTTGTAAGAATTATATAGTGTTATAATTAAATTTCAAAATCAAAATTATGAGTTATGAAAATATTATGAGTTATGAAAATATATACAAGGTTTTTTTCTTTAATACAATAAAGCAAAAATACGTTATAATAAGATTTACGTTATTTTATAACATATTTAAATATATATTCTTGCTTTACAGATAAAAGTTTTAACAATTTTTCAATAATTATCCCTTATGAAACAATCTGTAAATTCTTTTTTCTACTTTTTAATCATCATTTATCGTAGAAATAAAAGTCAATATTATCTCAATATACATATATGTATAAAGGGTACGCCATTTTAAGTTACCCACCCCAATAACTTTTTTATTTTTGAATGTACAACAAAATGTTTCAAATAAAAGTTGTTTGACTTCGAGGGGGACAGAAGATGATGGCAAAAATTTTACTTTGAATAGTCATTTGAAGGTCACATGAAGGTCAGCTTCAATTTCTTAAATGGAACCTACCATTTTTCATTGCATATTCTTGTAGCTTATCTCGAGAGCTTTCTAAAACACTATAATTAAGTACTTTTTCGTTAAGTACTTTTTGAGTTACAAGGCTTGAAATAATTTCTTAATTTTACATAAACTATAAAATATATAGTAAAATATTCATTTTTCGATTATCTTACCTTAATAATTTTATGTACAAAATAATGAGAGGAATCAATTGATGTGAAGAAAACATACAGTTGTTTTTAAGAAACAATATGGAATTGTTAATTGCAAATTATATATTTTTTCTTAGAAATAACTATGTTTTCTTTACACCAATTGATTCCTCTCATTATTTTGTACATAAAAGTATTAAGGTAAGATAATCGAAAAATGAATATTTTACTAGATATTTTATGGTTTATGTAAAATTGGGACATTTCAAACCTCATAACTCGGAAAGTACTCAATGAAAAAATACTTTATTAAAGTGTTTTGGAAAGCTCTTGACGCTACAAGAATGTGTAAAAATATATAGGGTGTCCCATTTAAAAAATTGGAGGTGATCTCCACGTGACCTCCAGGTGATTCTTCAAGGTTAAACTAATGGCATCATCTTATGTCCCCCTTTAAGCCATACAATTTTTGTCTGAAACATTTTTGTCTTAAACTTATGAATTATGAGATATTTCAGTGCATAGATTAAAATGGCCTACCCTACACAAAAAGGCAAAAAAATCTCAATGCAAGTAACAGAAATCCTCCACGATTTTTTTCACACCACACAGTAAAGTCGCATTAAAATTTTTATTTTGACCCAAGCTTTATTATTACGTTGTATTGTAAAAAAAAATATTTGAAATTTGTAAAAGACATTTAGAAAAAAATTTTCAAGTATAAAATGCTTTGGTGAAAACTTAAATGTGATAATATTTAGCGGAGTTATAATGCTTTAAATATTGCCAATTTTTAAGCAACTTTTCTTCTTCCCTTAATTTTTGTGATTGAGTATTATATTTTCTATAATTTTGAAAGGAAATTTTAGTTAAAATTCAATATTAATCTCTTTTGTGATTAGTATATATTGAGTATTATATTTTCTATAATTTTGAGAGGTAATCTTAATTAAAATTCAAGATTAATCTTTTTTTTTTTTAAGTTCTCAAAATCCTAAATTTTGTCTTTTTTTAATACAATGTCAAATTTTAGAGAAAATGCTTTGTAACACTTTATATGAACCTTGTATATATATATCAAAATTCAAATATCACACAAATTTCAATATGTTAAATAGAATTATACAATCCGTGCACATTTTTGTAAATTCATTCTTATAAAAAATACTACATACATGCTCTCTTATAATCATAAAGCTCACCGATACTGGAAAATGATTCAGAATGTTGCAAGTTAATTCTTGTAGAATTTTCTGCCGATTGATTCTTCACTGTTTGATTGTCCAGGCCAGACGGATTCTCTATTTCGATGACCAAACTGCTATCACAAATGGGGCATTTGAGTTGCTTGGAACCTAAAAGCATGATTTTCATAATCATTTTAAAAAGTACCACTTCTTCATAATACAAACCCGTCATCGATTTAGCAGCAAGCATCACATATTCCATATCCTGCGAGAATTGCGTTGAACATTTCATACATTTAAAAACCTGCAGCGGGATCGGCCGCATTTCAATCTGTTCATTGATAATTGTTACAATTTTCTAAAAATAAAAAAAAATATGTTTTCAATTGTAGATCATATACAGGGCGGCGCATTTAAAATGTTACAAGATATTTCCTTCGTAAAATTTGACGTCGTGCAAGAAAAATGTTTTTTAGACAAAATTTATACAATTTAGAGAGAAAAATATTGAAAATTTTTAATTTTTCAACTAAAATTATTTTTGAAAATTATGTGAAAATCAATCTAGTTCTTTTTAATGGAACTATTCCAATTTTTTTATAAATCAATTCTTCAATATTTGATGTCAAAAGTTATAAGAATAGATGACCAAAAATTGAATAGTTCACAAGATATTTCATATGGGATGAGGAAAAAATATCATGCGAATCAGTAAAATATCTCGAAAATAAGATATTTGAGAAAAAAAATGTTAAATACAAAAGTAGGGTTTCTACTGCAACAATACCCATTTGAACTTAAGTGCAATTATGAAGATTTCAAGGTCGATTTTAAAATCTTAAACAGAAACCTATGTTGTATTTGATATTCTTGTAACTGGTATTTATGTCTTTTTAAAATACTATAATAAAACTTTTTTTGATTAATCCTTTGAGGGGCGGTGTATCATATATGATACACCTATTTATCTTTAGTATTTTCCTCATTATAGATGTATTACGACAGTTATATGCAATCAAGTTCCTTAGACTTCTGATTACCTACATATTGTAATCTTCCATCATTTTTCACTGGGGGGTTGACAATAATTAATTAATAAATAATCAATATGAAAAAAGCACTATTTTTTCGGAAAAAAATCAGTTTTGAATACAGGTCTTGTTGAATCAACCCCAAATTGCACATATATAGGTTTTCGGGATCTCTGATCACAATGCCGGCCTCAGATTTTGGAAATCCAAGATGGCGGATCCAATATGGCGGATGACATATCTAAAATCTGATAATTTTCAATTTTAAAGAATCTTATCATATTTTGCATATAATTTGAAGAAGAAAGTATTCTTGATGTTTTTTCGATTAGATGTATAATTTTTGAGAAAAAAATCCATGAATTGTCAATATTTCTAAGATATAATCCGCCATCTTGAATTTTGAAATTATGATGCCAGATTCGTAATCAGTGATCCCAAAAACCTATAAAACCATCATGATCTTTGTTGTTGATCTCACATAAAAAATGTGCCCCTACCTGTAAAAGGGTTAAATGCCTGATTTTCGGTATTTTATCGGTCCGATATTGTTTCTTTATCCTATACACTTTAATATAATATGTCATAATTTTACATTAACAATGAAATATCTCATAAAATATTTTTCGATTATCTTGCTTCAATATTTTTATACATAAAATAATGAAAGCAATTAATTGATATAAAGAGAACATATAGTTATTTTGAAGAAAAAATTTTAATGAGCAGCTATATATTATAGGGTCATTCTGTAATGAAAAAAATTTGAAACCATTTTTTTTTAAACTATTTTTTTTCTTCTATAATGTGAAAAACTTCATTTTGCATTAAAAATCATATTTCTTCCGTTAAAAGCGTTTTCTTAAAGAAAATTTCGTTAAGGAGTCTAAAGGTCGGTGCTTATTGGCGCAACTTTACTCAATAATTATCGCCTTATTAAGCATTATAGAAAAAAATGATTCAGGACTTTTCGACTCAGTTTTCGAGGAATATCGCTATATAAATAGTGGGCGCCAATTAAGTGACACCCTGTATTAGTTTATGTAAAATTATATCAAATTAAAAGATAAAATATTTTGTAAACTATATTCAATTGTTGACTATACTATCCTTATAATTTTTAATGTTGAATTGCAAAGAGAGAATCGATTTATATAAAAGAAAAATGGAATAATTCCATTAAAAAAAATTAGGTTGACCTTTACATTATCTTGAAAACGATTTTTAAATTAAAATTCAAAATTATCAATTTTTTCCTTCAAAATATTTTAAATTTGGTCTAAAATCTTTTTTTTGTATGATATAAAATCTCGAAGAAAATACTTCAGTGTGTGTAACATTTTAATTATTCTATCCTGTATATCCTGTATATCCTGTTAAGAATATTTACAGTACCTTCGCATCTTCCAATTGCACGAAGTAACGTCTATTTTCTTTATCTTTTCTAGTAGTATCAAAAATAATATCGATGGTAGGTGGATCGTTCTTGCCTAAGACGCAAGACAAAATTGAACTCATCGACCAATGAAACTTTACTTTTCCAGTAATTGTATCCTTTTCTTTAATATTTCTATAAAAGTTGCGATAAAATTTAATTTTATAATAATAAAAATATATCTAAAGATATTCTGTTTAATATTTTAGAAAAATTTCAAAACGTTTGATTAATTAATCAAAATAAAGAACTTCTTGGGCCTTTCCATCTTGATTGATCAGTTAAACAAATAAAATTGTCATAGTGGTAAACGAAGCACAACTTAATATTGATTATTCAAAAAAGTTGCAATTAAACTATAATTTTCAATTTTTCTTACAAGTAATAAAGAAATGCTTATAATCTAAGAATATAAATACAATTCTACTGTAATTGTACACTTACTCAGGGGTTATCATTAAAAATATAGTCTCCATCTCACTATCACTTTTTCTTTTCTGAACAATGTATAAATCTCCAGCTTCTAAGACAAAAAAAGAAAAAATTAAAATCTATTGCATTATTAGCAATATTGTTTAATATTTCGTACAACCTTCAGTTTCATTAGAATCATATACAGTTGTAGAATGAGTCGTATGTGTTTCTAGAGTGTGTATTTCATCTACGATTTCTTCATTCTGAGGAATGTCTTTATCATCTTCCGTATATTTTGCAATTTCTTCTGATTGGGGCTCACTAGAAAATTTTTCATTAAACATGGTATGAATTAGATTATTATGAAGAGACGTTGATGTATTAATATCAGCCAAAGTCTTAAACATTTGTGATGTTGTAAATTGTTCACAATGAAGACCCATAATATCCTGGACAGAAGTCCCTGCATGACTGTTCAGCCAATTATTTTCACCAAATTTCTCCCGCAAATCTAAGATGCGTTTTTTTATCTCCAAATGATCTTTTGACGATTCTAGAAAAATGAATATATTAATATGTATAATATTACTAAAAATATATATTACTCCATTATATATAATATCATATTTCCTTTTACTCCAATTATTATAATAATATCTCAATTATCACACAATAATTTTATTTTATATTATATTATCATATTTAAAATTACATATTTGATTACTAATTTTATAATATTATAATATTATAGTAATAAATAGTAATAATAGTAATAAAAATTAATTTTATATTTATTAATAATTTTATATTTTATATTAATTTTATATTTATTACTAATTTTATATAATATTATAATAGTAATAAAAATTAACAAAAATAATATTAATAAAATTAGTAAAAATTAATATAAATAATATTAATAAAAAGATACATATATCTAAATATATATATCTTGATTACCTAAATGAGAAGAGGCAACTACATCAGGTAGTTTTTTAAATTCTCCCTTTTCCTGATCAATTTCATCAATAATCGCTTCTCTCATGTTCGACTTTTTTTTACTTCTTGTTATGCTTCTTTCTAAATTATCAGATAATGTTATTCGATTTGATCCGTTTTCATTGAATTCATATGTATCGACGCATGTGGACATTGAGCTGGTCAAAGATATGGATTGATTCGCGCGTATCGTAAAAACTCGATTTTCTATCACAAACGTTTTTTCCAATTTTGAAAGCGGTAGTCGATCTAAAACAAACTGTTAGAGTGTATTCAAACTCATGTCATATAAATAACAATTATAATATGGATATTGACTCTGCACTTTATAATGTTTGATATATTAATTATGGTTCAAATACCTTGCTATCTGACAGACTCGGATGCAAATGTTTTATGGACAATAACCGATGTTTTGGATGGTATGATAAAGGATTTCCTTCCAAAGATAGCCATAATAAAGTAGACATTTGTTGAAGTGGCCACAGAACCGAATGGTCCATTAAACAGTTAAATGATAAATCTAATTCTGTCAAACATTCTAAACCTTGAAGACCTATTATACAAATTGATAATGAATATATAATTCATTAGTAGTTTATGAATAATAATATATAAATTATACTGCTTGAAAAATCGCAAATATTCTATACATTTCTATAAATTAATTTTTTGAAAATAATTTCATCTTTTTTGTTGTAATATTTTAATTCGCAAATTGTGTCACAAAAACCAAAAATGTATATATGCGTGTGTGCATGTATATACAGAGAGATTTGAGAAAGATTGAACCAACGTTCATGAGGGAGAGCGCACGAAACTGAATAGAAAAGTTTTTTATTATTCTTTATTTTCAATCTTTTGCAATTTTCGCAATAATTATTGATATTAATTTAAAAAATTTAATATTTCTGTTATTATTGCAAAAATCATAAAACGATATAGGACTTTTCTATTCAATTTATTGCGCTTTACCTCCTTCCGAACGCTTGTATATAGTGCTGCAGAACATCCTATATATACAGAGTGTCCCAAAAGTCCCGGACCGGTCGAACATTTCATAAACTATGCACTTTAGAAAGAAATGTTTCAAACAAAAGTTGTATGGCCTGAAGGGGGCCATCAGATAGTGGCAATAATTTAACATGAGAGAATCATTTGAAAGTCACGTGAAGATCACCGTTAATTTCTTAAATGGAACCCCCTATTTTTCATTACATATTCTTGTAGCTTACCTCGAGGGCTTTCCAAAACACTATAATAAATTATTTTTCCATGAAGTACTTTTCGAGTGATGAGGCTTGAAATCGTTTCCTAATTTTACATAAACCATAAAATATCTTGTAAAATATTCATTTTTCGATTATTTTACCTTAATATTTTTATGTACAAAATAATGAAAGGAATCAATTGGTGTAAAGAAAACACAGTTACTTAAAAAAAAATATTTAATTGTTAATTGCAAATTACATTTTTTCTTCGAAATAACTATGTGTTTTCTTTACACCAATTGATTCCTCTCATTATTTTGTATATAAAAGTATTAAGATAATCGAAAAATGAATATTTTACAAGATATTTTATGGTTTATGTAAAATTAAGAAATTATTTTAAGCCTCATAACTGTTTTGGAAAGCTGTCGAGGTAAGCTACAAGAATATGGAATGAAAAATAGGGGATTCATTAAAAAAAATTCACTTCCAATCTGAATCGCCTATTTCTAACCGGAACCAGAAGTTGAAAATATCATCATTCGATAGAGCGCATTATAAAGAAATAATTTTATATGCGCTATTTAATTTTCCGATTTATAAAGAAAATGTTTTTACTTTTTTGAAATAACCACTTCTCGAGTTTTTAAATGGGTGGTACGGGTCTGAAACACCCTGTGTATGTATGTATATATATATATATATATATATATATATTTTTTTTTTATATCGCAAACGATTTTATATTATACATAAATAAAATTAGAAAATATAATATCATTATTGCAATAATAACTAACCATTAAGATTGTCAATGTAATTATTCTTCAATACTAATATTTGTAATGAATATAACGCTAATTTATTGAATGTGGGTACTTCTTTCAATTTATTATAGCCCAGATTGACATATTTCAAGGCTGATAAGCAGGATATCTCCTTTGCACTAGTTATCATGTTATGGTTTAAGTCCAATATCTGAAGCCAAGGAGCTAATTCTAATGATTCATCCAAACATTCCAGAGCATTATGAGACAATACTAAATGTCTCAAGGATGCCCATACAAACCCGATGCCAGCGTCACCTCCACATGTAGCTATACAGTAAAAAAAATTATAGAGATAGAGTAACACAGATAATATTTAAAAATAACCTTATATACAAGGTAGACAATAACATTGTCCATTAAATATCTCCACTACTTTGAGATATGAAAAATTGTAAAAATTACGAAAGTTACGGTATCAAGAGGGCCATAATATGCTAAAAATATTTTTTTCATAATTGAAAGTACTTTAGAGATTTCAAGATAATTTTCAATTTTTTTTTAATGAATCATCTTAATTTCTTTATAAATTGATTCTTTGCAATGTTCATATTCGGCATAAAAAATTATAATTGAATTTTATATTTTATATTTTATAAATATACATATAATATATTATACGTTATTATAAATATTTTATATTTTGACAAAATTTTACAAAAACTATGAAATATCTCGTAAAATATTCATTTTACGATTATCTCGCCTCAATATTTTTAAGTAAATAATTGAAAGAGTTAATTAGTACAAAGATAATATATATTATTATTAAAAAAATAAATTCACAAATAAATATATAAATTTGCGAGTAGATATTGTTTTCATAAAAAACAATACATGCTTTCTTTACATCAATTCATTCTTCTCATTATTTTACGCTTAAAAAAATTAAGACAAGATAATCGATAAATATTCTATTTTTAACTGTCTTATCTAACTTTTTACTCCAAATATTGCGAGGAATCAATTTTATACAAAAAAATAGTAGATTCTATTTATAAAAGATTCTATTTAAATAGATTCTATTTTAAAAAAATGAAAATAACTTTGAAAATCTCTGAAGCATTTCCACTTACAGAAAAAATATTACTAGCATATGACTCTCTTGATACCATAACTTTCATAATTACAATTTTTCATATCTAAAAATGGTAGATATATTTCAGGCGGATAAAATTATTTCCTTACCCTATATATATATATATATATATAAAATATGAATTTGCAACAGTTATATTCTTTTCTTAGAAATAACTGTGTTTCCTTTACATCAATTTTTTTTTCGTTATTTTATGCTTAAAAATAAAATAATCGGAAGATAAACATTTTAGGAGATATTTCATTTAATCTACGTATAATTATCAACTTAAATTCTACATAAAATATCTTGTAAACTATTCAATTTTTGCTATCCTACTATTATAATAATACTGTTATAATATTGCGAAAAATCGATTTATATAAAAAATGATTAAAAAAATTGAAGTGATTCATATATATATATATATATATATATATATATATATATATATATAATGTTGATAATGATTACATATTTTATATATATACCAAAATCAAATCTATTTATAATTAATATCAATTATTTATATATAATTAATATCAATTTATTCCACAAAAAACCGAATATTGCCTATTTGTTATTTTTATTTTTCTAAATTCTACCTTATACATTTAAACAAACCTAATAATTGGCAAATTGTGGATACTCCTTTCCTACCGGCACATACAATGCTTTCTAGCTGGCCCCTGACACTTTGTAAACCTTTCATTAATTCAATGGATACCTTTTTCAATTCCAAATACTTTAAATGTCTAAACTTGGAGATGTCAATGGTAATGACATCATCAGAAGAATAATGCGTTATTTTCAAACTTATAGTTTTCTGTACAAAATCATGTAAAAATTTTATATCACGAAATATATCTACTTTGGAACTATTGCACACTTGAAATGAAGACTCCAGATCTTCTGGTTCTAATATTATTAATGAGAATGCTTCATTAAGACTATGCAACAGTTTTGTTGACAGTGAAAGCTTGCTTGAAGCACTCAAGATCATATCGCCATTTTGACGAAGAAGATTCACCAGTTCTATTATTTCTTGCATATTGACCGTATCCTGTGAATAGTTTGACATTGTATTGTTCTCATTCACTGTTATTATAGACTCTTTATTCCGTATTATTTATTTGCTGTATTCATATAAGAATATATTTTTCTAATATTCCATGTTAAGCTGAAATAAAAATAATATATCAAATTAAACATGAATGAAACATTCATTTGGGTTTTGATATGTAGTATATGAATTTGAAAATAAACATTTAAAAATCTTTATAAGTTTTAAAACAGATTTAGGAGAATATTTAGCTTTCAATGAACTTTATACTTTAGATTTTGATAAAAATATATTTCATAACTTTTCTTTACATATCAAGAAAAATAAAAACAAAAATTTAAAGTGACATAGTTACATTTTAATTATAATTAAAGTTACAGTTCCAAAAACAAACTATGTAATTGATTAAAAATTATATATATATAAATATGTATGTGTGTGTGTGTGTGTGTGTGTGTGTATATACGTAAATTAAAGTATGTGATATAGGGGTTGGGTAATAACTAGTTGATTAGTTAAAAGTTAAAAAAAAAGTTAAAAGTTAATAATTTTTAACTCAACTTAGTTATTTTAAAAAGAGTTAACTTTTAACTTTAAGTAGTTATTTATAAAACACATAAACTTAAACTTATTAACTTTCCTCCCAAATTTATTTGATAATTCATATTATTATTATTTAGTCTAATTTTAAAATTACAATCTAATTTAATATAAAGTGAAATAATGCTTTTCAAAATTTTAACTTTTATCTTAACTAACGTTAATTTAATCTTAACATAACTTTTATTGAGTTAATTTTTTATTTGTATAACTTTTAACATAACTAAATTAATTTTTTAACCCATTAACTTTAACTTAATTTAGTTTTAAAAAAATATAAACTTATCCAATCCTGGTGATATGTACTATATATATGCTTATATCATTATATTCTATTAATATATGATAGATTTCCTAACCTTAAAAATTGTTGATATCCTTAATTACTTTTTCTATTTATCCTCGTGTTGAGATATGTTTGTTTGTCAACCTTGGACTTAATATAAAAAAGCATTTAAAATGTGTATTTTTGTCAAAACCTAAGTGGAGCGGATAAAATAAACATTTTTATCATACACAAGAAAATCAGCTTAACGATAACAGTAATAATAAAATGAAAATATTATATATATATATTATATATATTATACATATTATATACAATTAAATGTATTACATGTATTATAATACATATAATTCTATGTATTGTATTCACATACCGTGATATAATAAAAATTTCTAACAAAAAACAATTGTCGACGTAATAATAATAATCTATAAATATTTGTATCTTTTTCTTCCTCTCTCTCTCTCTCTCTCTCTCTCTCTCTCTCTCTCTCTCTCTCTCTCTATCTCCCTCTTTTTCTCTCTTTGGAGCTCTCTTCAAAATTCGTCAATTTCACTGAACTCTACACATACTACCAGATACTATATAACTACATACTAGAATGAGCCATCAAGGCCCGTGTTCCGAATTTATCACAGACTTCTATATATATAGTGCGTTCGAAAATATTAGTGCGTTCGAAAATATGTTTGGTTGGTGTTGGGAAAAAAGATAAAGGGTGTTTACGACAATTAATCGGATCTCTGATCGGACTGAGCAGTGGTACTCAGCGATAGACTTCCTAAATTTCCCTAGACTAATCCGGATCAATGATGTGTCTCTGAAGTAATCGAACTAGATTAACAGTCATCGAAAGAAATTGCGGTTGAGCTGATCGAAAAAATTGTGAAAAACATCATAAGAAATTATAGAAGATACTTTATTATTCTTTTAATTAATATATCTTTATTTATCAAATATATATTAATAAACAAATGTATTTTACTGGAATAAGATGTTTTCTATAAAATAAGACTAAGTTGTTAATCTAATTCGATTACTTCAGAGACACATCATTGATCCGGATTAGTCTAGGGAAATTTAGAAAGCTATCTATCGCTGAGTACCACTGTTCAGTCTGATCAAAGATCCGATTAATTGTCGTAAACAACCAAAGTTGGCAGTATTGAAAACTCCCAGTGCTGCGTTTCGTTTCTCCCACTGGGATCACTAGGATTAAAACAATTTGCTACTTGAGATATTAAAAGAGGTAAATAAGTACTTAAATATATTTTATAATAATATGTTTAATAACATCACATATATTATTATTAATACGAACGTGTGTTTTATATTAATAATGCTATAATTATAAAAAAGTGACATAATTTACCTAAAATGTGCTTTAAATTCAATATTTGTATATCTGGTAACAACATTTTCCAAATAATCTGTTATTTTTGGTACTATTTTCCTTTCACTCTATTGTTATTACCTCTATTTTCGAATAAAATATTTTGTAAGTCTATCGCTGAGTACCATTGCTCAGTCCGATCAAAGATCCGATTAATTGTCATAGGCCCGGTTTCACCAACGTGATTTAATCTAATCGGTCGATTAAATTGGTCACCAGAATTGCCAATAACAAGACTTTAAAAACGAACGTCGCCATCCACGGACCTTGCTTCACAGAAAGAAAATAGGTTACGATCAGTTTTATTATGTTCAGCAGTTGGCAACTCTGACAGTTAATCGACCGATTAGATTAAATCACGTTGGTGAAACCGGGCCATAGGCCGGTATTCATAGTCCGATCTTATATTTGAGATCGTCTTAAGTTCGAGCTTGAAATGCTACGCAGCTATTTGATTGGTTGAAAGAGGTCTTAAGTCAACCTCGGACCAGACTTAAGATGATCTTAAATATAAGATCGGACTATGAATACCGGTCATAGTATATAAGGCTGATAGCAGAGAACGGTCGTAGTCGTGGACGTAAAGTAAGACAGAGAAAAACGTATACGTAAATAGCATGTATTGTATATTTTTCTTTACCTTACTTTACATCCACGACTATGACAGACGTAAGCGCTAATATCTCATTCTCTGCCATCAGCCTAATCCTTCAAATAATAAAATTATAAGAGCGATACAGTGGCAATAAAATTATATTTTTTATAAGTTTCCTTTCACATTAAATAAAAATTGTTTTTATTTGATGATTTTTGATAAAATAAAATTATATTTCTTTCTTAAAGTAAAATCTATTCAAGAATTTGCCAGAAAATTAAATTAATACCTTATAGGACTGTCATTAAATTTTTATTATTACGCGCAGATTTAATATTTTTATTTCCATTACAAAAAAGTAACTACAAAGTAACGACTCGTTACTTTTTGAGTAACTATAACTGTAACGTGTTACTTTTTAGGACCAGTAACTTGTAACTGTAACTAGTTACATTTTTTAGTAAAGAAACTGTAACTGTAACTAATTACTTTTATAAAGTATCTTTCCCAACCCTGTACAATACTCTAAAAAAAAATAAAATTCTTCTAAGTAAATATGAAGAAAATATTTTTGTTATATACATTTTGTTACATATATTTTTGTCATATACAATGATCTTAGTAGAATATATGTATACTAATGTACTGTGTTTGTTATTTGAAAATTTTTATTTACTTTTAATGTATTCCTAACTGTATTTGTTATTAATTTATCTTTCAAAGTCTTTATCAATGAGCGTAAATCTGTCACTGTTTTCTGCAGTTTATAAACTTTATCCCTAAAACACTTCACTTCTTTCCGTTTTTCCTGCAATTCTTCAATCAGTACTTCCAAACAAATTTCTGCTTCTAACGGTGATTGTGAAATCTTTTTAACATCTATATCAGCAATTGTTTTTATATTTTTTATAGGTACTTCTTCGCTTGATTGCTCCATTGATAAGGATCTATAACACATACAATAAATATATGAATTAAACATGAAAATAGTATGTAAACATTTATTATTCAATCTCTTATTTGTAAAGTAATATTACCTCTTCAAAGATGTATGTTTCACGCAATGTTGTGTATTCTGTATGCTCTCTTCTTTAGAGCTACAACCAGCGTTTTCCTCTTCAATCAGTACTTCCAAACAAACTTCTGCTTCTAACGATGATTGTGAAACTTTTTTAACATCTACATCAGCAATTGTTTTTATATTTTTTATAGGTACTTCTTTGCTTGACTGTTCCATTGATAAGGATCTATAACACATACAATGAATATATGAATTAAACATGAAAATAATATGTAAACATTTATTATTCAATCTCTTATTTGTAAACTAATATTACCTCTTCAAAGATGCATGTTTCATGCAATGTTGTGCATTTTGTATGCTCTCTTCTTTAGAGCTACAACCAGCATTTTCTTCTTTTTGTAGGTTCATTGATGGAACTGCATCAGATTTTTAATATTTTCTTTCTCCAACAAGACTTATCATGAAATCCTGTTCTGTGAAATGTTTTGAACAAATTCTTGCATTTCGATTTATTCGTTCCATATTTAATACAGATAGCCATAATTTCATTATGTGTTCCTTTTGTGGAACTCTGAAAATGAAAATAATTATATTATTTATAATTTTGTGTAATTTAATGTTATTGTTATAAATTAATTGTTATTGTTAAATTATTTATTAATTAATTGTTATTATTAAATTATTTATTAATGTTCTATATGGCTACGTTCCGTTTCACGCATATGCGCGCATTTGTCTATAGTATACGTTACGCATACTATAAATAATGCGCGCATATGCGTGAAACGGAACGCAGCCTAGGTCACTTTTGTATGTAAAATGCTAATATTAATCTTACCTTATTTTTTATCATTTTATTTTATTTTATAATTTATATTAAATATTATTACACATTTCTTTTATTGTATTATACTGTATTATACTGTATTATAGTTTATATGTGTATTTAACATAAAACTATGTGTATAATCACAACTTTGTAATGCATGTTAAAATAGGTTACAATATTTTATAAAAAGAAAATGTACTTACTTATGCATTTGTATATTCTTTTCATCCTTGTTGTGAACACTTTTACATAAAAAACATCTCAAAACCATTGTCTTGAAATTTTTATAATTAAATATTGGATAGAAGAACACTTTCACAACGCACAAGCATTTTACAGGGGATCTGTTCTTTTCAGTTGCACTGTTGCACTAGTGCAATTAGTTAGAGTGAAAGAAAGTATGTTTGTCTCTTTCTAACTTATTGCACTAGTGCAGCAGTGCAGCTGAAAAGAACAGATCCAGGGTTACAGATGCCAAATTTAGGCCCGGTTCCATAACTCGAGTTAATCCGAGTTTAATACGTTAAACTGGGTCCTGATTGGTCCATTCATTACTTAAACTCGGATTAACTGGATTGTGGAACTGGGTCTTAAGGCCGCAGCACACACTTTTGCATAAGCGCATAACCATAAGCATAAGGAAATTGATTGGTCCCCAAGTATATGCATAAGAAAATGAACCAATCAATTTTCTTATGCTTATGGTTATGCGTTTATGCAAAAGTGTGTGCTGCAGCCTTTAGGCCCGTTTCTACCAACGCCGCTTAACTTTAATCTTAGCTTAACTCATTCTTTGTCTCCTTTTAACTGTTCTTTTAGAAAGAGACAAAGAATGAGTTAAGCTAAGATTAAAGTTAAGCGGCGTTGGTAGAAACGGGCCTTAGGCCCAGTTCCACAACTCGAGTTAATCCGAGTTTAATACGTTAAACTGGGTCCTGATTGGTCCATTCATTACTTAAACTCGGATTAACTGGATTGTGGAACTGGGCCTTAAAGGTGGAAGTACATAAAATTGCAGAAGCACATAACCATAAGCATAAGAAAATTGATTGGTTTATTTTCTTATGAATATATTTGTGGACCAATCAAATTCCTTATGCTTATGGTTATGCGCCTATGCAATTTTATGTGCTTAATGCTACGTTATTACGAGAATTCTGGAGGGAGACAAAATTACCAATGAAATACGAGCAAAGAGACAGACATAGGCCCCCATGTAGTACCTCTCTCTCTACAGCGGACGCTCGCCTGTCTATCGCGTAGAGACCATCGACATATACACAGTGATGGTAGGCCGGGCGATTTTTTCGCGCATGCGCAGTAGTAAGCACAGGAAAACAACGGTGTATCAGATAGTGGATTATGGACACCAAAGTTTTGGCGGGCAAGCTGAGCTCGGTGATGCTAGAAAGAAGTCTGAAGTCCCGAGTGAATGTTAAAGTGCAATTTCATTGACGCTAAAAAGTAGCGTCAATCATTGGTTGAACAAAGAATTAAGTAGTTGCTTCATTGTTTAACCAATGGTTGACGCTGCTTTTTAGCGTCAATGAAATTGCACCTTATAGTGTTTTAAAGTACAGCGAGAAAAGTGATTAGTGAATTGAAAGTGTGCTGTTGGTCACTCGTAAAAATTTTCTAAAAATTTTCCTTCAGAAATTTATTTAAGGGTGACACACTTTTTACTTCTACTAGATACTTCGTTAACGCCGCGTTCGCGGCGCATGCGCGAAAAAATCGCCCGGCCTACCATCACTGCAATACACTGGACTGAGCATCGCGATAGACAGACGAGCGCCCGCTGTAAAGAGAGAGAGATACTACATGGGAGGCCTATGGCCGGTATTCATAGTCCGATCTTATATTTAAGATCGTCTTAAGTCTGCTTGGAGGTTGACTTAAGACCTCATTCAACCAATCAAATAGCTGCGTAACATTTCAAGCTCGAACTTAAGACGATCTCAAATATAAGATCGGACTATGAATACCGGCCTATGTCTGTCTCTTTTGCTAGTATCTCATTGATAATTTTATTTCCCGCCTCGATGGGCGGGAACCAAAGTTACCAATGAGATACTAGCAAAAGAGACAGGCATAGGCCTCCCATATCCACAGACTTCTATATTAAAACTAGACCGTTAACTCCGGCAAAATACATAACACTGAAAAGTATGTACAAAACTTTGCGCATGCGTCATCATTGGTGGTATGACAGTCACGCTGATTGGTTAAATTTAAAGCAATATATATACAGGGGGTGCTTTCCAATTGAGATATCCCTAGACACTTTTATGCACACGGCGACACAAGTCGCGTTCCAATTGCCGTAACTGCCGACACAACTTTACACATCCGTACTCAGCTCGAGAGCTACTAGTCAACTTGTGTAACCTGCTGTTTTCTAGGGACAAATGAAATATGCGGTTACAGACTGACGGCGATTATGTTGGCAATTTTCTTTTCGTTTTATCCTTTTTAATTAAAAGACAACCATTAAAGTACACCATACAAATACAAAAATGGACAATAAAAATATTAAAAGTATCATTGAAGTAAGTAATTCAAATTAATGAGTTTTTGTACAATTAATTTTTTTATTATATTTAATAAATAAAATAAAATTGTCTCTTTTGCATATTTGCAGGTTAGATATATTACTGATTAAATTTTCATTCATATTTATATATTAATATAATATGCATTTATATATTTTATTTATATATTATTTATATATTATATAATATTATGCATATATATACATCTATGTATGTTAATAACCTATCCTAACCCTCCACTCGAAAGTCGCACATTAACTTTGTTCCAATTGAGTCGTGCACATCGCTACACTTTGTGCCTTCCTGTGTATGTTTGTGTTAAGATGTGTTAAACAATTGGAAAGCACCCAGGGTGTCCCAAAACTCATAATCAATCTTTCAAAAACAGATTCCTAGGATCATTTAGAGATGATTTTACCTCAGCAAAAATGTCGATGAAGGCCATCATTTTTTGCATGTTCCCGATTTTTGTCATCATATATCTTTGCAATTAAGCCTTAAATTAAAACTCAACTAAAGTAAACTCTATTTAAAATTAATCGAAGAATGTGATTTTGTTAATATTTTACTTCTACAAAGCTTAGTTTACGAAAAACCCCTTATTTCCAATCACTTATAATTAGAAAATTATTAGTGCCTCGACATTTTCGTTGAGGAAAATCGTCTTCGGATGATTCCAGGAATCTGTCTTTGAAAGATTGATTATGAGCTTTGGGACACTCTGTATATACGAGTATATATATATATATATATATATATATATATATAGAGAGAGAGAGAGAGAGAGAGAGAGAGAGAAAGAAAGAGAGACGAGCAGCCATATTACATATCTATTCCCTCCTTTTCTATCCCACCAATGTAATACATATTTTTCGGGGTCAATTTTTAGGTTTAGTATATAAGGAAGTTAGCGGTCTAGTTATAATATAGAAGTCTGTGATAGTATCTCTCTTTCTCTATAGCGAGCGCTCGCCTGTCTATCGCAATCATAGACATAGTAAGTATAGACCGAGCATCCATTGTATAAGCGTTAAGCATACGAAAAGAAAGACAAAAGATGTAAGATGAGTTTCTTTCTCTTTTTAATGCCGAAGAAGTGGAGAGCATTTCTCCTCATCTCCTCGCCCCTCCATGACGAACCGGCGCGAGAAGATGTGGAGAAGTGCTTCCCACTTCTCCGGCATTGAAAAGAGAAAGAAACTCATCTTACATCTTTTGTTTTTCTTTTCGTATGCTTAACGCTTATACAATGGATGCTCGGTCTATACTTACTATGTCTATGATCGCAATGCTCAGTCCAGTGTATATGTTGATGGTAGAGACAGAGAGAAGACTGAGAGGTGTCATGGGCCGGTATTCATAGTCCAATCTTATATTTGAGATCGTCCTAAGTTCGAACTTGAAATGCTACGCAGCTATTTGATTGGTTGAATGAGGTCTTAAGTCAACTCCAAGCAGACTTAAGACGATCTTAAATATAAGATCGGACTATGAATACCGGCCATGGCCCGCTTTTAGATAATCCCTGAAAGCGATACGCCCTCTGTTAATCTAAAAAACGTGGACATGAACTACAAAGCCAATATCCACGAAAGTTCTCAGAGGGTAACATATAATGTGCACAATTTCTGATTCTGTTCCGTGCTATGTGCACGGGAGTAGCTGTATAGCAAGGTGCTTATGTATATCAAATAAATTTTAATATAAACGAGAAATGATGAATTTGAATGTATATATATATATATATATATATATATATATATATATAGAGAGAGAGAGAGAGAGAGAGAGAGAGAAAGAAAGAGAAATAATAAAATTTATTTATCATAGAAATATATTTAATATACATAAACACCTTACAGAATTCGTGTTACGGATATTTCGTGCACATAGCACGGAATATATATACATAGAGTGTACGCGGGAGTTATGTGAGCAAGCGAGAAGATAATAAGAGGGAGCGAAATGGCAGTAAGAGCGAGCGAGATAGGAATAGAACGAGCAATGAAGACTCGAAAATCGAGTCTTTCTTGCAGTCTGGCATACTATTTCTCTCTCGCTTGCTCCTATTACTATCTCGCTTGCTCCTATTATTATCTCGCTCGCTCCCATTACTATCTCGCTCGCTTCTGTTATTATTTCATCTGTTATTATTTCTTACATACTATATACTGTCATGTCCATCTCGTTATCAAGTCTGCCGCAAGCGGCCGATGACAAACTAATGAAAATTTTGCGATTAAAATAACATCAAACACGGTATCAATCGGATAAATGTAGTTAAATATATATAATCAAACTTTTTATTATCAGACTAATTAAAAATTATCCGATTTACGTCGTGTTTGATATCATTTTAATCACAAAAATCTCAATAATTCATTAAAATTACTTTCATATCGATAAAATAAAAAATAAAAGTTTCAGTTTTTATTTTATAATCTCGTAAATTGCGAATGGATAGAGAAAGTGAAGAAGCCGATTGTAAGAGACTTCGGAATTCTTTGATGATAGGTCATCTCACTCACTCTCGACTCGCTGTCGCTCTCGCACTTGATAGGTCGTAAAGATAAGCGGACTAGGCTTTCTCGCGAATGTAAACATCTTATAAAATAAAAACTGAAACTTTTATTTTTTATTTTATCGATATGAAAGTAATTTTAATGACGCGATGACACTCATACAGTGGACAGGACCATAAAACGTGGTTAATATCTTGGTGAGACGATCCACACAAACACCGAGGATGCCGGAAGAGGCCACATCTATGGAGGCTGTAATTTAAATTATAATGGTTAGATCTGATTCTGCTGATAGTGGTAA